CAAATATGCAAAAAAAAGTAAACAAACAGGTTCTCTGGCATTGATCTCGGCAAAGTCACTCAAAGCCCAGTCGACACTACAAAGTCGAATTCACCACTACCCACTGACTTGTGACATGTTGAGGGAGATATCCCACAGAATCATCGTATGACAGGCTTACACAGTCACCCTCATTCAGTCATACCTTTCAGGCAACATCCCAGACTCCCCCAACAATGTTCTTAAATGTGTCCTGTCCCACTAGGAAGGATATTCACAAAAGGTAGCAGCACAATAGTAGAAAGCTAGGAACGCATGGCCCTTGTTGTTCACAATAATGGATCTGGACACCATGAAAGTTCATGTATTTGGGTCAAATTGTACAAGGATTGTACAAATTGTACAAAGATTTGTCAAATTGTACAAATTGTACCTGCCAGCTGCCAGATGCTTCAATCTCTCAGCTGATTAAGTAATGTTTGGAAAAAGCAAAGAATGCAGACCGGATGTTGGACTCCAATATGCTTCACCAAGAATAACTTGATACAGCAGAACTACTGGCTCATTGCTGAAGGGAAAGTCAGCCAGACTGATTGCTATCCTGTGGCAAGAGATTGAGCTTGAGGGATAAAAGCTACATGAGCTGTCCCTACTTATCTAGTTTTTGCAGATATCTCTACATATGACAGTAATGTTCAGGATGACATGGACAATCCTTATATAGAAACATCACTATCTTCATATTGAGGACCTACTGCATCATGTTGTTTGTAATTTCCACCATTCTAAATTCCATAAATTCATAAATGTGACAACCACGATACACCGTACACCATCAGGAGAATGAGCAGAATTGTATTAAGTTAGAGTCTTTAACCTCACAGACCCAAGTAGTATACATCATCTGTTTCCCAGTGAAGCAAAGGATTCGCACTGAGTGGAATATTCAGCCCCTGAAACCTTCCCAGACCCTACAATTGTGCAGTTGTATACTCAAGCCTCTTACGGTACTGATCAGTAGTTTTTACCATGTTCTATTGCACAATTTTTCAATAAGAAATTATTTATCCTTCTGAGCTATTCTTTAAACATGCACATGTCTAAGATTTACCATCTTGTTTAAAATTGATTCGTGTTTGAATTCACGTTTTTCCAGAAAAACCTACTCTATACTATCCACCAGGTAAAAACAAACAGGCTCATCAATGTTTAAGTAGCACATTCTTGTTCCACATGGATGTCCATTGATGCTGTTTTGACAAATGAGCAACAGCTGTTTGTATTATGCCATTTTATCTCAAAAATTTTCTCTTGTTTTTCCTTACTGAAGACATGTATCCATGTTTCAAACAAATCCCCATTCTGTTTCTATTGAAGTTTACTTCCCCTCCAGAGAAATATTCACTATTCACCAGGTGGCAAATTACATGTTGGTGAATGAATATCTTTGATCCCTTTTCATCTTGACCTAGGCCCTAATTTCCAACCATTAGCAGGATCTTAGTTGGGCAAAGTTCATCATTTTAAATTTCGCGCCAGGACTGGACTGTAGCATTCTAGGTGACGCTGTGGTGCACTAGTGAGGGTGCATCATTTTCGGATGTGCTGTTCTTTGCAAGAAACCTCAAGGCACCTTCCCCTCTCAGGTCACTATCAGTTCCCTGACATTATTTCCAAACAGAACAGATGAGTCATTCACCAAGACATGGTTATTATTTGCCCCTGAATAAACATCAGAAAATACTGATCACATTTAATACATGTGATTTTAGAGTGCACGAAATAACTTGCACTTGTTACATTACTAGAAATGGCTACACTTTAATTTACTTAATTACCATAAATGTGCTGTGCAGTATTGGATAGGGTTGGTTTATCTAGTGACGCCAACAATGTTGGTTCAATTCCTGCATCAGCTGAGGCTAGCATGAAGGACTTTCCTTCTCAACTTTGCCATTTTCCTGAGATGTAGTGTTCCTCAGGTTAAACCAGACCAGTTAATGAGAGAACAAGCCCTATTGTCTGGTAAAACTATGGCAACTTAGTCGTGCAAGGACTTATTAGATACATGTACATCTTCTTAAAGTGACAATATCTTTTGAGGGTTTGAGAAGCTGAAAAATCCCCAAATCTCAAATCATTGTGATGCTTCATATGCCTGGCCCTGTGTGCACAGGCATTATTATTCAAATTATTCCAAGTAAAATTAAAATTATTCAAATAGACTGAACTCCTGGCAGCACAGTGCTAACTAGGATTGTGTAAATGGACACTATTTTTGTCTCAAATTCTTCAAGCCAGTCAAAAACAACCACCTAACTGTTCTTATTTTCCAGCACCTGAGTTTGAGTTTGATTGAGTTTGATTTATTGTTGTCACATGTATCAAGTTACAGTGGAAGGCGTTGTTTTATGTGCTATATAGGCAGATCATTCCATACAAAGTGCATCAGGGTAGCAGAACAGATTGCAGAATATAACGTTAAAGCCACAGAGAAGGTGCAGAGAGATCAACAATAACATTTGAGAGGTCTGTTCAAAAGTCTAACAAGAGAGGGGAAGAAATTGTTCTTGAATCTATCCATGCATATATTCAAACTTTATACCTTTTGCCTGAAGGAAGAGGGTGGAAGAGTGTATAACTGGGATGGGAGGAGTCTTTGATTATGTTGGTTGCTTTCTCAAGGCAGCAGAAAGTATAGATAGAGTCAGTGGATGGAAGGCTGGTTCGCATAATGGACTGGGCTGTGATCATGACTCTCTGTAATTTCTTGCAGTCTTGGGAAGCATAGTTGCCATACCACACTGTGATGCATCCAGATAGGATGCTTTCTATGGTGCATCTATTTAAGTTGGTAATAGTTCTTATGGACTTGCCAAATTTCCTGAGCCTCCTGAGGAAGTGGAGACATTGTTATGCTTTCTTGACCATCACATCAACATTGGTGGAACAGCACATATTGTTGGTGATCATCACTCCCAGGAACTTGACGTTGTCAACCATTTGCACCTCAGCACCATTGATGCAGACAGGGGCGTGCCCTCCACTCCACTTCCTGAAGTTAATGACGAGCTCCTTCATTTTGCTGTCTTTGATGGAGAGATTGTTGTCTTTACACCATGCCGCTAAGCACTCAATCTCTTTCCTCTATTCTATCTCATAGTTGTTTAAGAGTCGACCTACAGCGGTGGTGTCTTCAGCAAACTTTAAATGGAATTGAGGCGTCATTTGCCCACATAGTCGAGAGTGTATAAGTAATACAGTAGGGGGCTGAGTACACAGCCTTGTGGGGCTCAGGTGTTGAGGATTATGGTGGAGGAGGTGTTGTCACCTGTTCTTACTGCTTATGGTCAATCGGCCAGGAAGTTGAGAATCCAGTTACGGGGAGGGGGAGCCAAGACCTAAGTCTCAGAGTTTAGAGATGAGTTTGTTTGTAATTATGGTGTTAAAGGCAGAGCTGTAAGCAATAAGTAGGAGCCTGACATAGATATCTTTGTTATACAGATGTTCCAGGGCTGAGTGTAGGGCCAGGCATCTGTTGTGGACCTGTTGCGCCAGTAAGTGAATTGCAAAGGGTCAAGGCAATTTGTCAGGCTGGAATTGATGTGATCCCTGACTAATCTCTCAAAGCACTTTATAATTATGGAGGTTACAGCCACTGGGCGGTAGTCATTGCAGCACATTGCATGATTTTTCTTTGGACCAGGATGTTGGTGGTTACTTGGTCTTTTATGCCTTTGCATTGCAAGTGCGCATCCTAAGACAGTACTTCTGAAATATTAGGATGGGTCTACATTACTGCCCTTAGGTGTCAGTGAATTCCAGATTCCCACCAGCTCTGAATAAAAAAGTTTTTCCTCACATCTCCTCTAAACTTTCTGACCCTTACCTTAAATCTGTGCTTTCTGGTCTATTGATACTGCCATCAAGGGGAAATGTTTCTTCCTGTCTACACTATCTATGCCCCTGGTAATTTTATACATCTTAAACAGTTTCCTCTGCTTGAAGGAAAATAACCTCAGTCTGTCCAACCTCTCTTCATAACTAAAACAACATCCTGGTAAATCTTCTCTGCACTGTTTCCTGTGCTAGCATATCATCCTATGATGTGCATTCCAGAACAGCATACAATAATCTAGCTGTGGCTGAACTACTGTTTTATACTGTTCCAACATCACCTCCCTGCTGTTAAACTCTATGCCTCGGCTAATAAAGACAAATATCCCAAATGCCTTCTTAACAAATTTATCCACCTATCCTGATAGCTTAAGGGACCAGTGTACATGCACACCAATGTCCCTCTGATTCTTGGTGCTTCCCAGGGTTTTACTGTTCAAAATGTATTCCAATGCCTTGTTTGTCCTGCTCATCACCTCACATTTATCTGGATTGAATTCCATTTGCCACTGATCAGCCCATCTGAACAGCTCATCCAAATCCTCCTGTAATCCAAGGCAATCCTCTTCACAATTTACCACACCACCAATTTTTGCATCATACACTGGTTTATATAACATCCATTGACCCTTGAAATGGATTATTTGAAATGGTTTCTTTGACCAAGAGCAAATTACTCTTTATGTGGTTTCTTTGAGAGCACTGCCAGATTGTGCCAAAATTGCTGTCAGGGATTAGTGTTGGCTCAGTGTACATTCATAGACAATCACCAATGACCCAAAATTGAATTGGTGAGAGATTCAAATAAGTGTACTTCAGTATATTTAGTTTGCTAAATTGACAAGAATTATTTTGGATCAGATTGGTATGCACTTAGGTTCAGATTCAAAACTAGTGTTCTTCACAAATGTATGAGATTAGTGAATGCAGTCACATGAACCTTGTTTTGCAACCTTCATTCTCTGTTCCTGAAAACTGTTCCATTCTGATGACTGAACAGCACTTGTTGGTTTGCATCCGTCATATATCAGAAATTACTTTCTTTTTTTCCTTTCTTTTGGTTTAACTTGTGTATGTTAAGCAACCTCCATCACTACTGATTCATTTTATTTCTTCTTTTCCAGAAAGGCCTATAATCTACTATCCACCAGGTAAAGTGCACATGCTCAGTGACTATCGTGGATCTTCTAAGGATTTGACTGATGCACATGGTTGCAATATTTCCAAAAAGTAAGACATCTGCTAAGGCCCAGTTTGCTGGAATATTCACTTACATTTGTTTGACCATGTATTAGTTTTGTCATGTTTTTGGAGGGCTTTTCACCATGCATCCCAGTGAGATTTCTTGTTGTATCTTACTGCTTTACCTCCCTGACATTCCCTATGGCACCCCTCTGCTAAAGCTTAACTCTGTGTAACTTCAGAAGAACTCACATCTCACTGGAAATCCACTAAAAGACTAACATCTCTGGTACCTGCACAATATTTAGTAGGCTGTAGTGCACATTGCGTTCTGAAGCTGCCCCCTACAGTGACAGACATTCATGCAGGAGGCGTCAGCAAAAGGTAAATGGCGCCGCAATTCCCCAACAGGGGCCTTCAGCTCCTGGTGGACTTTGTGGTGCAGAGAAAGGGCGTTTTCTCCCTCAAGGACCAGTAGAGGATGGCATGCCACCAGTCCCTGCCAGCCTGGTCTGAGGTTGCCACCCAAGGAGTGGACAGTAGTTTAATTATCCAGCCATTCTGATAGTCAGGCATCAGCTGTTTGCATAATAGTTTTATCTAAATTTTCTAATTATCTAATGTCTAATTATTATCCCATAATTTTTCTGTTTGGCTTTAAGCATGGGTGTACATCAAACCATTTCTATTCTGTTTAATATTGGTTAAAGTTTAATTCTTCTTTTCCAGCAAAACCTACTGTGTACTATCCACCAGGTGACAAAATCCATGTGATTGTGTGAATATGTTTAAACCCTTCCTTTTTAACTTAGGCCCTACTTTCTAAAATGTCCAAATCTGAGTGTCAGCAAGGGGCTTAGTTGGGAGAAATCTTTCTACTGGTGCAAAGTTTATCATTTTAAATTTCACTCCAGGACAGGACTATTGCAACGTAGATGGCACAGCATTGGCAATCCTTTGCAAACAAGGATGACTCTCTTCCACTGTCAGGGCAAGTCCGTAGGTGGCTGTACAGACCAATGCGGCTACCGCAGGCTCTGTTACACTTGGGCAGAAAGTATTCGTGGGAAGGGGTGGGTGGGGCATTGATGTAGTAGCGCACTCCTTTCGCCTGGCTTCCGCTTTATCCCCACGGCAAGTCTCGATACCTTTCCGGATGCTCCTCCTCCACCTTGGCAGTCTTGGGCCAGTGATTCCCAGGTGTCTGTGGGAATGCCGCACTTCACCAGTGGCTATCACTGAAGCACTTCCCCCGTCCATCTGGGGCTTGCCTGCCGTTTCGAAGCTGGGAGTAAAGCGCCTGCTTGGGGAAGTCTCGTGTCAGTAATGTGGATGACGTGACCAGCCCATCGTAGCCAATCAAGAGTGGTCAGGTCCTCCATGCTGGGGCTGTTGGCCTGGTCGAAGACGCTGGTGTTGGTGCATCTGTCTTTCCAGCAGATTCGCAGGATCTTGCATAGGCAGCTGTGCTCCTCCCTGCTCTGCACAGTTGTGCCTAACCTGATGGCCCCAGACCTGCCATAGGCCAGACTCCCATTTTATGGTCACATAAAACATGTAATGAGCCATATAACCTGGTCTACAACTGCCTGAGAACACAACTGCCTGCCTGCCATCCCTCCCTTTTCTTCCCTCCCTTACCTTGCCTTACCATCTCATACTTCACTCGACTGCTCCTACTCAAACAGCCCCAGGGACCAAGGCCCAAGCACTGCTCCTTCTGTCTTCTGACTGTCCCCAAACTGGATCTTCTGGGGCTCAGAACGGGGCCTAGCAGTGGCTGCACAGCCTACAAACCACCCAGCCGCCAGATGGATCTCCTCTTGCTGTTGATTTTCTTAACACTACCCTAACCCCAGCCCTCTGCTTATATAATCCCCAATAATTTTATAACACCTCCCAGCCCAGTAATTTTTATAACTTGCCCCAGCCCAGTGTTTATATAATCCCCACTAATTTTATAACACTCCCCCCAGTTCAGTGTTTCTATTCTCCAAAAGAGTGCAGTATTGTTGTCCTTTGCATAAAAATTTAAAATGCGTATCGCACCCCTGCCTCATTGGAGTTGGCAGTGCACAAATTGACTGTTGCATTTTCTACATTCCTAAAAACAATAAATTTCAAAATACTTCATTCGAATTTATTAGTTTTAAAGCATTGTGGGATGTTGGGTGGTTCTGAAAGGTGCTATACAAATACATGTCATTCTTTTTAATGTGGCAGTATCTTTTAAGCTCTTGGAATGCTGCTGAATCCTTGCCTATCAAAGGCTGTGATACTTTCTTCACCTGGCCTAATGTGTACAGACAGGGTTATTTATTTGCAAGTGCTTCTTTGTAGCACTGTTGAAGATTCTTTCCATCATTTTGCTGATGATGGAGAGTAGAGTGAGACCGTGGGAATTGGTTGGGTTGGAATTGTCTCACTCTCAATACCTAGACTGGAACAGCTTGACCAGATTAGGGATAGTGTTCGCTGTCCCGGAAGTGGGGAACCCGGCGGTGGCGGATGTGACGTCATCTGTGGGTTCTCCGATAGTGGCCTCATGGCCAATGGCAGCAGACGCATTGTGGGGAAGGTCCTGGGTACGGCTGGGGATTTAGGGGGTGGAGGAAGCCCGTTTTGGGTGGTAGGCACCAGTAAGTTTACTGTACTTACGGCTTTTAGTGTCCAATAAAGCTGAGTAGAATTGTGAGTTCAGGTTGTGGATCCTACGAAGAATAAAAAACAGGAGAGGTCCTTTGCAGGTCTGGGAGAGGGAGGCTCTGAGCTGGGATAGGCTTGTTTGTAGTGCCTGGAGATGCCGGCACATTGCTGCAAGCGTGTGTTTCAGGAGTCACTGGGAGAAACGCTTCTGAAGGATCTCAATGCCATGAGTGTAGATATTGTCGCGGTTGGGGCCAAATTGGGAAGGCTTGAATGTGGATTGTAGTCCATTGGGGATGATCTGGTTCTGTAGGCAGGTGCTAAGGAAGGTGATGTGGCTGTAGTACCTGGTTTGCTTTAGGACATGGTCGAGCAGTTTCAGGGCCGAAGAGATTATGAGAGAGTTACAGTGGGACAGAGATCCCCTGAGGTTTGTCCGGAGGGAGGAGGGTAACTTCTGTCTTTGTCTGCCTTCTCTTCAATTGACTATGAACGAGAAACTGCTCTTCAGTGACTCCTGAATAGTTTTTGAGCAACCTATTCAAAACCTTGCAACAAGCCTGCCCGTGTCCCGACGCAAAATTGAATGTAACTAATATTTTGGAACAGTCAAACGTATTAAACCCTTGGAACTATCTGTCCTTTCTGTGTTATAATGTTCACTGAGTGCATATGCCAAAATAAATTATCACCACAGTTTTTGTGTAAATTATCATTTCCTGTCTCAAGCCTCATTTAACATCTTCAGTCGTTTCCCTTGTAATACTAATTGAAAATATAATCCTGTTTTTCCAGAAAAGCTTCGCTACAATCATTCATCTGGTAAGGAAAATGATATTCAGCATTTACATGCATGTAATTTTGACACATTCTGATTTCCAATGCCTTTTTCTCCAATTATTTTTAAGAAAACTGTTTCAGGAGCCCTTGAATATTTGCTGATGGATGAATAAAAACACTTGGGATAAAGTGAGGGTTAAGAAAGAGGCATACAGTAATACATAGCAGGGAAGTGCATGATACAAGAGAATACGAGGAGACTAGAAGAGAAGTCACAAAAGTACTTAGGAAAGAAAGGAGGTATATACAAAATTAAACGATCAGTGAACATAAACCAAACTTGCAAAATATTTTACAGGCACAGGAATAAAACATAAGGCTGCAGTGGAAACATAACCATTAAGGGATAAACAGGACAATGTATCAATAGGACAGATGGCAGAACTATTAAACAATCACAGAATCCCTACAGTGTGGAAGCAGGCCTTTCAGCCCATTGAATCTGCACTGATCCTTTGAAGAGCATCCTACCCAGATTCACCCCCTTACCCTATACCTGTAACCCTATGGCTGCATCTCCTATGGCTAATCCACCTAACTTACACTGTTAAATAATTAGTTAACTTCGATGTTTATCAAGGAAATAGATAGTAATAGGCAGACGTGCCTTGAATTATGAGATGAGAAACATAAAAGTGCTTTAAAATAAGAAAGAAGAGATGTATTCATGAACTGATTTAACTCAGATAAAAGCCCTGGGCTGATTCAATTTCTTCTGCTTTTTTTAAAAATCAATGAAGAAAATAGGTTATAGATGCATTGCTACACATTTAAAGTGTAGTGTCATAAAACTGACAGACATTTATTGTGCGATAGCAAGAACTGCAGATGCTGGAGTCAGAGTCAACACAGTGTGGAGCTGGAGGGACACAGCAGGTCAGGCAGCATCAGAGGAACTGGAAAGTCGACATTTCAGGTGTAAATGAATTATAAACTGGATTTAAGACAGAAAGTGGAGAATGATAATAACAAGTGGATTCATAGGCCCAGAAGACAAGGAGTGGTGTCCCACTGGGACGACTGCTATGCATAATTTACACTCATAATTTCGATTTTGGAATCAAAAAATCTATTTCTAAATTTGTGGATAGCCATAAATTGCAGAGGGAGGCAATGCAGTTGGTGGAGGTATGCAGACAATCAACACAACAATAAATAAGGTTACTTATTATTTAGAAGATAGAAGGTCAGGTGAATTAGAAGAACAGAGGCTTCTCGCAGTAATAATAAATCACTAAAAGTTTAGCCACAGATTATCAAGGCTATAGAAAATTAAAACAAGCACTAGGCTATATTTGAAGAGGAATAGAAATGAAAAGTAGAGACATGAAACCGATATTGTACTTTAGTTAGACAGTGCTTAGAGTACTACATGCAGTTCCGATCGCCATATTTTTGAAAGAAATATATAGACACTGGCAAGGGTGCGGAGAAGGTTTACATTGTGATACCTGATACACAGAGATATACAGAATAGGAAAGGAGTGACAGGCTTGGTTTCTTTTCTCCTGAAGAAGGAAGGTTAAGGAGTGACCTAATAAAAGGCTTAACGCTATGAAAGG